CAGAGGCATGAGGCCTAGCCAGCAACAGACAACGAGCCTTAGGAACAACAAGAAAAACAGCCTCGCCTATGTATCACAAATGGAAGGAGCCGAAGTAGCATAACATATGTGGGAAGCCATAACTGAACACCCTTATCATGAGTTTCACACACACAAACAAGGCCAAGGCCCTCAGTCTGCCATTCAGTATGGGAAACAAACAGCTGACTTCCCAAAGCCAACCACAGATTCAGGAAAAGGCCTAACACGTTACTATGAGACAACACCCTCCCTCCCTCCCTAACAATCCAAGCTCGCAGACACACCAGAATGATGTTATAAAAAACTGCTTTGCTGTATACCTGATATTGTCTTTTTGCTTTATACCCATAGACAAACACCTATGAACCGCACCCCGCACCTGTCAGGAAAGCACCATCACCACTCCTATGGATTTCAATTGGAATGTAGCTTATGCATTGCAAGGCAATTCTCGGGAGTGGAGGGCAATACTTGTGTTTAACAAATGTGTTAACCTGATCTATGGGCGGAGCTACTATGTAATCTCTGACTATTGTCTTATCGTGCTCGTATGTCTTGCTGCCAGAACCTATCCAAGGGCTTGGGAACTCCCATCCCGTTGCTTCTCTCTGTCCACTGGCTCCCTATATCTATTGTAATCAATTGCTTAGAAGTGCTCACTAAGCCTAAGTGGCAAGGTGACACTCTGCCAGCGCTGTGCATAATAAACCCTCCAGCTTGAATCTACATGGTGTCTAAGTTTGGACGTTCCAATATCACCACAAAAGATAAGAATGAACTGAAGGAGGGCAGAGTTAGCTGAGGCATCGGTGCACTGATATAGCAGTACCACTCTAGGGGGTCTCCACAGCTAACTCTACAGGAGCTGCTAGGGGACAAGTTTCCAATGCATGTGCATGGGTTGAGTGTACACCAGCTTGGAATCGACATGAACAAGCACTCGAAGAAGAACTAAGGAAAAAGAGAAGGGACTGTTTTCCCTTTTCAAGAGTGTACCACTGCTGGAGCTGGAGCCCCTCTTTTAGAGCGGAATTTTTTACTGGTCAGTCCCAACACTTAATGAATACCAGGGCTGGCCAAATCATAACTCTTCCTTCTCCAACCTGTGGGAAAGGAAGGGATATTTTTAGGTGTTAAGTGCCAAGTAATTTTATCCCAAAAATTATTAAAAACCTATCATCTGAGAAAAGAATAAGTCAAATCTGAATAGTCTGTCCATACCAAATTAGGCATGTAAAACTATTTTAGTCCCATTAGATTCTTAGCATGCCTAAGGAGGCACCATGATGGAAAAAACATATGATTCAAACAAGTGAGGGGGGTTGTGGGAAGCGGCTGCAAATGGCGAACTGGAGCCAATGAGAGCCACAGGACTCCGTGGCTGTGGAGCTGGTAAATAAATCCACCAAAGCAGCCAGTTAACAGGTTTCTCAGAGTGGTTTTGCAGACCACTTTAAGTAACACTGCTTTAGGCTGGATACTACCACTGCAAATTAAGTTGGAAGGCAATCACAGATTTGCTGTAGCAGGTCCCAGGATGTGGAACTTACTTCCCCTTGACATCTATACCCCGAAAGGAAGTCTTGTCTTGTGGCTAAGATACAGGAATGTGCCTGTGGCTCTCCACCATAGATTTCTTCTCGGACACTGGGAATCATGTCAGATTATAAAAGAATCTTAATTACGCAAACTGTACTTTAATTACAATTCTTTTTGGTGCTTCAGATAAAGTATTTTGCTATAAAGGAAAAATGAAACAAAGAGAAATAACTGTTGGGAAACATGCTTTGGGGTTAACTCCTCTATTCAGTCCACATAAAAATACTTTTCAAAGGTGACTTGAAACAGTGATAAATAGTGATAAATTGTTGTTGATATTTAGTTTTTAAATTGTTTAAGTGAGACAAGCTATATTTCTTTTCTTTGTTAAAATAAATTTACCATTAAACTAAATTTACCATTAAATAGCATGTCAAGCTTTTACTAAGAGGCCAAGAGAGAATATTCAATTTGTCAACTGAAGATAATATTCTCTTTATTTACCACTCTTTTTAAATGACTATTTTAAACCACTTAATAAAGTGACCCCCATTGGAGCAAAAGGAGCTGTCTCCTTACTGAAGAGCAGCCAAAGAGTCATTCTTAAAATAATTCTTGATGTCTAATTATTTTGTTCAATTCTCCTAGCTTGCCTGCATCTCCAACAATAAAGCAACCACCACCCAAAAAAATTACGGGGAGCCAAAAACCTGTCTTTTGAAAAAGGTGTTTAAAAAACAAAGCTTGTGTCATGGGATCCTATGTTATTTAAGATAAAAACTTTGATATAATTTTTTTTTTGTTCAAAACACCACATTACTAGCAAAAGAAAGATTAACAGTAGCTGTCACCTTTGTTTTCCTATTTATATTCTTCTTTCCCTCCAACAAATCCTATCAATGTTACAATCCGATCAATTCTACAGCACATAGCAAATGTGTTGACAGCACACTGGCAATCAGTGGAGTTTTAACCATTGTTTAACAATAAATGTAACACACTCCATCAGGGTATGTCTACACTACCACCCTCGTTCCACGAGGAGTAACGGAAGTTCGGAATAGGAAGCCTAATCTGAACTACCTAGTTCATGCTGCATGTAGCCGCGGGCACGGAGTCCGAACTAGCGGACATTTAAAAATGGCGGCGCCTGGCAATATACAAATGAAGCCCGGGAAATTCAAATCCCGGGCTTCATTTGCAACTCCGGTTGCCTACATTAACCACCCTAGTTCGAACTAAGGTGGTAGTGTAGACATACCCTCAGAGATGTAATATCTTCCATTGGACCAACTTTTGTTGATGAAAGGGACAAGTCTAAAGAGCAGTTCTGTACAGTTCAAATATTTGTCTTTTTCTTCAACAAAAGTTGCTCCAATAAAAGATTACTACCTACCCATGTTTTGTTTCTAATATCATTGGACCAACACAGCAAAAACTCCACTGAAATGTAATAGTGAAATACAAAAAAAAAAAAAAAAAAAGGAAATTCGGAGAACTGCATCCAATCTCCAATACTTCTAGCAAGCATTAGAAGTTCCTAGATAAATCTTGTTGAGTTGGCCAAGTTAGATGTCTTCCAATCACCAGGACCTGATGAAATGCATTCAAGGATATGATTTGGGAGATATCTGAGCCATTAACTATACATTTTCAAAAGTCATAGAACACAGAAGAGATTTCAGAAGACTGGAAAAGGGCAAATATAGTGCCCATCCACAAAAAGGGCAATAAGGACAACCCATGAAACAGTCTGGCCAACTTAACTTCTATGCCAGGAAAAATAATGGAGCAAATAATTAAGGAACCCATTTGCAAACATTTATAAAGGTAAAGTGACAAGAGTCAGCATGGATTTGTGAAGAACAAATCATGCCAAACTAACCTGATAACTTCCTTTATAGGATAACAAGCTTATCAAAGGAGGAAGCAGTAGATGTGGTATACTGAGATTTTAGTCAGGTATTTGAAATAGTCTCTCATATGACCTTATAAATAAATTAAGAAAATACAGCCTAGTGGGACAAGTGGCATTCAGCCACCCGAGACTGAGAAATAACAGGTCTGTGATGCCCTTAGAAGTCCGGGCCTGCACACGCACTACACTGACTGGTTCAGTGTGTGTCTACCCTACGCCAACAGGTGCGGGTAACCCGTTGAACCCCATTCGTGATGTGGGTCGGGGATTGTAATTATTCCCCATGAACAAGAACTTAAGTCTCAGCTTGACAAAGCCCTGGCTGGGTTGATTTAGTTGGAATTGGTCCTGCCTAGAGCAGGGGGCTGGACTTCATGACCTTCTGAGGTCTCTTCCAGTTCTATGGTTCTATGATTCTATGACAAGCGGTGTTCAGCCACCCAACACTGAGCAAAAACAGCCTAGATGGGGATACTATAAAGGTGGTTGAATAACTGGCTGTATAACCACTCTCAGAAAATAGTTATGAATGGATCACAGTCATGCTGGAAAGGCATAACAAGTGGGGTTCCATAGGGATCAGTTTTGGGACTGGTTCTTTTCAATCTTTATCAACTATTTAGGTAGTGACATATAGAATACACTTACAAAGTTTGTGGATGAAACCAAGTTAGGAGGGGTTGCAAGTGCTTGGAGGATAGGATTATAATTCAAAATGATCTGGACAAACTGGAAGAATGGTCTGAGTTAAATAAAATGAAATCCAATGAGGACAAGTGCAAAGTACTCCACTTAGGAACAATCAGTTGCACATACAAAATGGGAAATGACTATCCAGGAAGGAGTACTGCAGAAAGAGATCTAGGGGTTATAATGGACCATAAGCTAAGTATGAGTCAACAGCTGGGAAAAAAAAGCAAATATTCTGGGATGCATTGACTGGAATGTTGTGAGCAAGACACGAGAAGTAATTCTTCCATTTTACTCTGTGCTGATTAAGTCTCAACCAAGGTATTGTGTCCACTTCTGGACACTACATTTTAGGAAAGATGTGGACAAATTGGAGAAGGTCCACAGAAAAGCAACAAAAATTATTACAAGTCTAGAAAACATGAGCTATGAGGGAATACTGAAAGAACTGTGTTTCTTTAATCTGGAAAAAGACAACAGGGGACATGATAACAGCTTTCAAGTACAAGAGAGGTTGATACAAGGAGGAGGGAGAAAAAAAATATTCTCCTTACTCTCTGAAAAGACAAGTAGTAATGGGTTTCAAGTGAAGTAAGGGAGATTTAGGTTGGCTGTTAGGAAAAACTTTCTGTCACAGTGATTAAACACTGAAATAAAGTGCCTAAGAAGGCTGTGGAATTATCATTGGAGATTTTTAAAAGCAGGATATACAAACACCTGCCAGGATGGTCTAGATGGTGCTTGGTTAATTTAAGTAAATTTCAAACATTAATATCACAAAACTCCTTTGTTGTGACACAGAAAAAAGTAATTCATCCCTTAAAACACCTACCTTGATCAGAGAGAAAATCCAGCATAGTTTGGAGAAGGAAGGACAAATGTCGGACAGAAAGAGCAGGATTCCCCATTCTTCTTGAAGCATACACTAATTCATGAAGCAAACGCATTTGCACTGCAGCCCATCCTTTATGAGTCCCTACAAAATAAACAGGAAATCATTTGTTATATTTTTTATAAAATCTACAAGTAGCTTAAAATAGAATTCTACATTTAACATTAGATGGAAGTGGGCGGAAGAGATGTTTTATTTGATTGTTCTATGCAACTTCATTACAGTGATGCAGGAACCAACAGTTTGATCCACAGAAACTTACCTTTGCTGAAGTCCTTTGGATCCAAAGACAGACTATAACCAGGTAATGTCTCCAAAAGCAGTTTGTAGCAGGCCCGCCAACCAGGCTCTGATATGCTAGGTGCCACACATTGCATTGCTGCTACACGCTTGAAGAAAGCAGACTTTCGGTGAAATCCAATACGTTCATACAGCTCAGAAAGAATGCTGTAACGCTGGATTTTTTCTTCTTCAGAAAGCTGAAATGTTTAAAAAAAAGTACATTTTACTATGCTAAAATGTTACAGAAAAAAAATGAAAAATATAGAGAGAGCATAACAAAGACAACAAAAGAGCTAGTATTATAAGAACATAAGAAAGGCCACACTGCGTCAGACCATCGAACTTAAGATCCTATGCTCCAACTGTGGCCACTGTCAAGTACTCCAGAATTATAAATCCCAATTATCTTACATGTAGTATAATGAACAAACCAGAAAATAATTTCTGGTCCTAGCTCCAACCTCGTTCTGTATTAAGGATGTTAAAATGCAGTTAAATATCAGAGGATTAGCTGTGGACCTGGACAATGATCCCTCACTTGCACAGGCCTTGGACGCAGGCCAGTCCTCACCCACAGTCAACCCGCCAACCTGAAGCAAACTCTCATTAGCAACTATATACCACACCACAGTAACTAACTCAGGAACCAATCCCTGCAACAAACCTTGGTGCCAGCTCTGCCCACACATCTACACCAGCGACACCATCACAGGACCTAACCAGATCAGCCACACCATCACAGGTTCATTCACCTGTACGTCTACCAATGTAATATACACCATCATGTGCCAGCAATGGCCCTCTGCTATATACATCGGCCAAACTGGACAGTCCCTATATAAAAGAATAAACACACAAATCAAATATCAGGAATGGCAATATACAAAAACCTGTAGGAGAACACTTCAATCTCCCTGGACACACAGTAGCAGATTTCAAGGTAGCCATCCTGCAACTAAAAAAATTCAAGACCAAGACTTCAAAGAGAAACTGCTGAGCTACAGTTCATCTGCAAATTTGATACCACCACCTTAGAATTAAACAAAGACTATGAATGGCTAGCCAACTACAAAAGCAGTTTCTCCTCTCTTGGGGTGCGTCTAGACGGGCAAGATTTTGCGCAAAAGCATCCATGCCAATCTAGACGCTCTTTTGCGGAAATACTTTTAACTGAAAAGTTTTTCCATTAAAAGTATTTCCGAAAAATCATGCCAGTCTAGACGTAGCCTTGGTGTTCACACCTCACATCAACCGGTAGAAGTGGGCCTCATCCTCTCTGACTGAATTGACCTCGTTATCTCTAGCCTTACTCTTGATTGGTACACTTTTCTTATACCTCTATATTTATACCTGCCTCTGGAATTTCCACGACATGCATCTGACAAAGTGGGTCTTTGCCCACGAAAGCTTATGTTCCAATAAATCTGTTAATCTATAAGGTGCCACAGGACTCCTCATCTCAAAATACGGTTAACTGACCGGTCAACTAGTCAATGGAATTTCCGTGGATCCGCAGTTCGGAGGCTGTCCCTTTAAACCACATATCTGCAGGATTTAAAGGGGTAGCAGTGGGGAGCCCGGGGTCAGCTGGGGACTCCCCCACTGATACCGGGCTCCATGGCTTTGAAATGCACAAAAGTCCCTGCACGGGACTCTTGTACATTTCAAAGAAGGCACGTGCGAGCAGCCCAGAGTCAGCTGGACTTCACACTGGCCCCGGGCTGTATGCAGAGTTCCTCATTCTTCCTTTGAAGTATACAAGAGCCCCACTGAAGTGCCTATAGACTAGTCAACTAGTCAAAAAACTATCCAATAAGCAAATGCTTATTGGATAGTCAACTAGTCTTTAACATCCTTATTCTGTATCAGCTCCAATACCTGTGTTCTGAATTTTATACCATGTCTTTATACTAAAACCTGCATTTTCTAGCCCATTTGTATATTATCCGCACTTTCTGACCTAGAGTTTATATCACTTGACTGGAACTCAGGAAACCTGGATTTTTGCCCCTATGTCTCAGTTTCCCCCATCTGTAAAATGGAGATGATGACATCTCCTTTATAAAGTTTTGAATCTATGGATGAAAAGCACTATGTCAGAGCTAGGTTTTATATTAAAAGATGGCATTTTAAGTTGCACTCACAAATAGTAAACTGAATTCTTAAGTAACATTTTTATATAGTATTTTGTCCTTAAAAAGGAACCCAAAGAAATCAATGACAATGGAAAATAGCTTGATGTGGTTTTAGCTAGAGAAAAATTAGTTTCCCAAATTAGAATTTGGCTCAGAAATCACTGATTTCTCCTAAACATTAATTCTCCTAACTTTGTGGAAAAAATGCAAAGATAGATTTGTAAATGTCCTGAGGTGGTTAACAATACAGTTCATCAACAGCCATCAACCCGGCATGACAGGAATAATGTGCACAAGCAACAGGATGTTTGTTTTAAGTTCCTTAGGTTTGCCACAGCAGCGCTTTAACACAATAGTGTAGTCACCGCTACATCACAGAGAGAGCTCTCCCAGTGATCTGACAAAGTGAACAAGCCCCTAGCAGTTAACCAAAGGCATCCATTTCACCACCAAGTCAGAAGCAGGGTCACACCACATACTGAATATTTTTTAGTGAATTCTTCTGGAGATTCTTTACAGGTCTCCTTAAGTAAGTACAGGCAGTCCCCGAGTTACACGGATCCGACTTATGTCAGATCCGCAGTTACGAACAGGGCTTTTCTCGCCCCAGAGGACGGGAGCGGCGGGACGCCCAGATGCGCTGCGGTCCCGCCGCCCGCGTCCTCCGGGGCGAGAAAAGCTGCTCCACGTCTCCCTGGTC